CGCCATCCCCACCAGTGTCCCCCGCCTAATGCCATCCCCACCAGTGTCCCCCGCCTAATGCCATCCCCACCAGTGTCCCCCGCCTAATGCCATCCCCACCAGTGTCCCCCACCTAATGCCATCCCCACCAGTGTCCCCCCAGCTGCACTGCCCTTGTGGTTAAGCATTCTCTTCAGCAGCTGTTTAAAAGTTTTTCAACTATCCAATAATTCTGCCAAGGGCTGCAAGCACTGGGCTTTTGTTTTCTGCGACATGAGTAGTTTTGCTCTCAAAAGGAAAGGATGACCAGGCACAGCGGCTCACGTCTGTAATCCCAGCACTTTGGGAGGCCGAGGCAGGTGGATCACGAGGTCAGGAGTTCAAGACCAGCCTGACCAACATAGAGAAACCCTGTCTCTACTAAAAATACAAAATAGCCAGGCGTGGTGGCGCATGCCTGTGATCCCAGCTACTTGTTCTTGGGAGGCTGAGGCAGGAGAATTGCTTGAACCGAGGAGGCGGAGGTTGCGATGAGCCGAGATCTTGCCATTGCACTCCAGCCTGGGCAATAAGAGTGAAACTCTGTCTCAAGAAAAAAAAAAAAGGGAAGCATATTCTAGGTAACTTTAGAGATAGGGTAATAAATTTGAAAATTTTAAAAAGGGAAGGCTAGGTACGTTGGCTCTGTGATCCCAGCACTTTGGGAGGCTGAGGCATGAGGATGGCTTGAGTCCGAAAGTTCAAGACCAGCCTGGGCAATGGAGTGAGACCCCTATCTCTGCAAATAATAATGAGCTCGGCACGGTGGTGCATAGCTGTACCCCTAGGTACTTTGGAGGCTGAAATGAGAGAATTGGCTCAAGCCCAGAAGGCTGAGGCTGTAGCAAGCTGAGATCACAGCAGTGTACTGCAGCCTGGACAACACAGTGAGACCCCACCTCTAAAAAAAAGGAAAGCAGGGGAGAGAAAAGAGAAAGGAAAGAGGGAGGAAAAGGATGACAGGAGGGAAGAGATAAGGACCAGAAACAACTGTTAACCAAAGGGAAGAGGGGACGTGAAGCCTGCAGGGCTCAGGACCGGAGGCCCACAGCACCTGGTGACTGTTACCTGGAAACAAACGTGCAGTGATCTGATCTCGGCTGAGATAGACAAGGAGAAAACTGACCAGCAACCCACTGTGTTCCTGGTGGCCTTTGGAAAGACCTGATTGCCAATCAACAGTTTAGATCCCTTCCCAGGGGAAATGAAAGAAACTGGGCTCCGTGGCTCACGCCTGTAATCCCAGTGGGAGGCCGAGGCGGGTGGATCACGAGGTCAGGAGATCAAAACCATGGTGAAACCCCGTCTCTAAAAAAAAAAAAAAGAAACTCTTCTTTTTGGTTATGGGGGGGAGTCCCCATGATTGCTACACTGTCTTCTCATCTCTTCCAGAAAACATCTTGGGTTTGGACTCACTCTGTCACCCCAGATTGGAGTTCAGTGGCACATCATACCTCCTGGTACACTACCATGCCCGGCTAATTTTTTTTTTTTTTTTTGAGATGGAGTCTTGCTCTGTCACCCAGGCTGGAGTGCAGTGGCATGATCTTGGCTCATTGTGACCTCCACCTCCTGAGTTCATGCAATTCTCCTGCCTTAGCTTCCAGAGTAGCTGGGAGTACAGGCGTGTGCCACCCATGCCAAGATAATTTTTCTATTTTTAGTAGAGATGGCATTTCACCATGTTGTCCAGGCTGGACTCGAACTCCTGACCTCAGGTGATCCACCCACCTCAGTTTCCCAAAGTGCTGGGATTACAGGTGTGAGCCACTGTGCCCGGCCCCAGCTAATTTTTACAGTATTTTTGTAGAGACCGGATCTTGCCATGTTGGCCAGGCCAGGCTCAATCCTCCTGGCTCAGCCTTCCAAAATGCTGGGATTACAGGTGTGAGCCACCCTGGGGGGGGCACCCAAGAGCATGCCAGCCTTGATGTTATCACCCAAATTATAGACTATGACGCATATAGCGTTCTTGCCGGTTCTGGAGAGCTGCCTCTCATTGTCTTGCTAGAACACGCCTCCCCTTTCCCTGTGACAGGCAAGTCCTGGATCTGAAGGACAACAGTGCAGAGATCTTGTCTCCCAGCCGCGCAAGACCACACTTCTTGGCTGGGCATGGTGGCTCACACCTGTAAACCCAACACTTTGGGAAACTGAAGCAGGTATAATTGCTTGAGGTCAGGAGTTCAAGACCAGTCTGGC